TTTGATATTTTTCATAAAGGTTTGTTTATTACTTTTCTAAATATCACATGGGCGATTAGTTGCAGCGAAATGTTTGCGTCGAAATCATGATTTGTAAATTACGAGTGAAGTAACGCCAACATGGGATCGATCCGTAACTGAGTGAATGTATCACATACTCGCCGGACAAGATTCATACAGTACCCTTTGGTAATGTCCGCGGATGTCTGTTTTTAGTTCGTTTTGACACAAGGTAATATGCACAATGTTTACCATTAACACTTACAAGTGTACCTAAATTTGCACACTAAGGGAGACAGAAGAGTCAACAATGTCAAGAGCTATCTCCTCGATCAACTATTTTTTAAAAAAAAAATATTAAAGTAAGAAGCAGAACATATTAATTAAAACACTGTCCCTGTTATCAAAAACATCTAATATGTCAAACCGACTGGTATCATCATAGAAGAAAATTTCTACGAATCTTTATTCAAATAAGACTATATCGAGATAGAAAAAGATTGTTAGCTGAAGTGTAAAACACTACTCACGTCAATTTCCATGTCTCTGGTATGTCTGTATTGCAAAATATATTTGACCAGAACAATTGGGAATCGTATGGACAAATACAGTGCACACGTGAGGACAGGCAGTTGTGCTGCAGTCATTACTCCTGACTATGAAACACACATAATTTAGTAAAAAAAAAATATAAAGTATATCTGAGTTGTAAAACACAAAAATAGACGAAATTAGGCTCAAAAATTGTTTTCGGCGTATGACGCTTAGCTTTCATATACATGTACTAGTATTATGTAAATATATTCAATATTTAATATTTTCACCAGTAGACTTTATCGCCCAAATTTGTCTGCACTTTTTTTTTTATATTCTTCAATATTTCTAGAAACGAACACTAATTTTGAAGCCAACAGACACAATTTGAGTAAATTTTAGTTAATTTGACTATTTTTGTCTCGATATTCTGAAGGAAAATGATGACTATACAGAGGCGAAGGCACGAAATATTGCAGGGAGGGGCGAGATCTGCTCACTATCCCCCGCGCCGAAGGCGCGACCTTACTCGGGGTTTCTGAGGGCATGCTCCCTCTCACAAATTTTGAAATCTAGACCCTCTGAAACGCTATCTCCTGCATTTTGAGGGGGGAATTTTGCCGACACAAAAAACTGAGAATGAATGTTATAAAATTTAGAGTAATAGTACATTTTTTTTCCAATTCACACAAGAAACCATTGCAGAATTTCTGTACCGTTTCGCTTTCTTTGTTGCATAAAAACACGTCGAGGATCGTTCTTATCAGAAATATCCACGAGTAAATCGTTCCAATGATGTACGTTACAACAGATTCCAATGTAATAGATACGAAGAGGGGATAGTAAGCACTTCCGGTGAAAGTTACCACAACTATTAGCCATAGCGCTGAAAAACAAACAAACAAACAATAGTAACTTTCAATATTGAAGAGTAGGTCAAGGCGCTACTTAATTGTTTTTTTTTTACTTACTAATAAACACACTGATTTAAATTATGAGTGGTGAAATTTGTCATCCTTATATATGCGTCGATGGCAAATATCAATGGAAGTAATTATTTGAGTTAATAAACAACCCACACATATATGTAACATCCGGGTACTTTCATAGACACTGTGATGTGTTATTGTCTGATTATCTAAGGTTTGATTGAAAAGTGTGTTTCTGCACTGCAGTGTGTTACAGTCTTCGGGGGGAAACACGTGTTTCTAGACACAAAAACCATGAGTTTTCTGGAATTCGGGTTAGGAAACTACGCATTCGAGCCTGAACACCGTAAAGTCTATAACCAAGTCCATTGAAATGCGTTTCCGATCATCAAAAGACCTATTAATCCGATTTCTACGCAGGTTTGTTTGTTGTCCCATAATTATTCCATACTTGACACCTTTAACAGACTGTTATTCTGAGACAAACTATTTTCTTAAAAAAACCAGACATATTTCGCACCGTCATTAACTTTAGAACGATAACTGCGAGTTTGAATGTCCTAGTCCAAACGAAGTCCAAATGCACTTGATTTGGCGGCGGTCTCAATGAGTCGTACCCAATGAAAACTTCATCCAAGTTTTGGATTATAAAACACTGTAGATTTGTTGCATTATCATAAATATACACTAAAAATTGCCAAACATATTAACCACTAATATCATAGAACTCATAAAAAGTGTCAGGTAATGAATAATTTCAAGCACGAGCGTGAAAAATGAAGAAAACTGCTGGCATTTTAGTCCGTACTCCAAGAACGTTCGGGTTTCCATTGTTACGCAAACGAAAAACGAGGGATAATTCTCTGACAAACATTACTGTCCCACTGTACACGCTGACAGTTTACAGACAAGCTAATCCTTCAAGTGTCTCTGATCTAATAAAACGGTTTTCATGGTGAAACAAAATTGCCGATGTTTGAAAAAAAATTGCTGTGTCAGAGTGCGACACTGAATGGCAGATTTTTCTTTGCCTCGTCTGTCAACGCTTTCTTTCTTTTCTACGCTATTGCGTTAGAAAAATGGTATTAGTAAAATAGAATATTGACTTGGAAAATAAAACGATTTTAAAGAAAGTTGCGCAAAGTTACAGTACTCGCACAACCTCCCGCCCGCTTTCCAATCACCTTTTTCTCTCGCTTTTGCGACCGCTTGTTGAATTCGACCAGACAATAATTATATGCACGCAATCTGACCCTTTGACCTCGATTTCGCTTGGAGTGAATATTTTATTTAAAAAATATTCTGACGTAAAATACAAAATGTATTTCAACACAAGTACGACATGGTTGTCTGAGTTTTCTTTCCTGATTTTCGAGTCTTCGCAATGTGTTTTGTATAATTGTTGTTGTTTTCCCCGAGGCGAAGACAAGCTGAAGGACCATGAAGCTAAATATGGCAGTTCCATGCATGGGCTGAGTGAAAAAAAATATTTCTAAGCCTAAAATAAAACCTAATATTACACCTCTTTGTGTATTTGTTAATTTTGCATATGTTTGTCATGACAGTATGTTTGTAAATATCTAGAAAAATATCGTCTTTCGTTGATAATTTCAATTGTTTGGAAAGACTGTCGACCGTGTCCCAATAATTTGTTTGGAATATCGATCCCCGTTTGTTTCTCCATACTGAGTTTAGGACGGGCGTCGATCAACACAATCAGTCGAGACAGGACAAACTTTGACCGTAATTCATGGAGATCATGTCCCTAATTTGTGGGCTGAAACCCCAAATTATTAAACAAGTATTATTATTATAATATATATTTTATTTTACATCGCAAAACTACATCAGAGCTAGAGTCGATGCAACTTCAACTAGCCATTACTTACCTTGAAATAAAAAAAATAAAAATTCGAAGAGCATAGGGGTAAATATTAACAACCATTCTTAGCAATCGCTAGCTTTATTTTATACGAATCCATGAAATTCACGAGTTTTTCAACATTTGTTGGCAACTTCCGCGTTAAAAAAGATTGAACAAACAGATATTGAACGGACAAATATGGTTCTGTGACCCAGGTCGTGCTCCGATAATGTGGCTTTCAGCCAATGTTGTAACAAAGCATATTTGACGCTAATTGAAGGGTCGTCGTACCATCTTATATCTGGCGTCGATTCACATAGTTTTTTGTGCTGTGACAAGCTTCAAAATTATTCGCATCGGTATATTTTGACAAACGGGTGGGATTTGACATCAGTTCAAAAAGAAAATACTAGGCTGAGATACATTAGAATCCACGGCGAATCAGTTTTCTCTGCAAGTTGTAAAATAAAGTAAACCAGAGTAGGGTCGATGATTTTCAGCCCTGAGGGACTTCCGTGTGAATCCTGAGTTTCGAATTGGTCATCGACTGGCCACCACATATTTATTATGGCCATAACTAAATTTGACACGATTTTTTTAAGCCCAATAAATTATTCATACATGTCAAGCTCTGTTCGATTTTTTCAGGGCATGTGGCCGTTTTAGTCGAACATATGTTTTGTGGGAACACTTTTACGGTACGTATAGACCGAAGTTATTCAGTTATCGTGACTTAATTTTGAAAATTGAATGTCAAATTTTACTAGACCACCTGTTGACCGACGTGGATTTGGTAACGTTATTTTGGGAATTAATCATTAACATTTCCTCGTTTCTCTGCTCTGTTAAAAGGAGTTACCTTTGTTGTTTCACGTAACTAAAATAAAATAAAATATTACATCTAGAACAAGTACCCAAAACACGTAACAAGAGGTCGCAGTTCAGTTGCTTTCACGATACAAGTGTCATACAACTATTAGATTTGAAGTGTCGTTCAGAATTTAATAATAGTTAATACTAGTTGCATGTTCACACTTTACTATCAAAACCACCATTTCGACCACTCATGGAACTATAACCACATAGTTCCATGGACCACTCATGTGCCAGTGATCAGTGTTTGGGCGAGTGGTTGGTGTTTTTAATGAGCGAGCGAGCGAAAAACACGTGATTAAAATGCGGTCGGTTTCCGGTCGGCAAGACCGCGCGGTCGGAAATTAAGCGATAAGCGGTCGATGTAAATGCGGAAGGTTATGCGAAATGAGTACTGTATGACCATGTTTCTTCGACGAAGTCTCGACTGACAATGGACGTTAGATAAACACACATTGTTTGCAACTGGAAGCTTATCACCCGTTATATCAGAATCGTCCACAACAGAGTATACAGATAAGATGTTATCATTTAAACGGTCCCAAAGATAAATATTATACAAATATCCACGAAACGGCAGTTGTAGTCTTTTCTGCTAGCGTTTTAAAACACTAATTTGAGCAATATATTTCGCAGTTTTTGAAAACCTAGGATGATGTATCAAGTAACAAGAAAAAAGTGAAAATTTCCCTTCTCGCTACCTTAATTTGGTTCTTAAATAGGTGTCATGAAATTTTGAAATATCAGTCGATCATAAAGAAATTCACCAGATGACAAAACTATACTCGGCATATACATTTTTTTTTATTTCGTTGGTAACGTGAAGTATATTCTAAAAAAGTTTCAAATAAAAACAAACACAAATGCATTGCTTTGTAGCAAATGATCACGGTAGCACAATCCGCTCATGGTACGTTTCACAAGTGAATAACTGTTTTCGATGTGTTGCATTTATTGATTATTACTCAGTAGTGATTATAATAACGTACAAAAAATAAATTTATCGAATTGTTATGAAATGCAAATAAAATTCAATTTATTTTCATTGTAAGCGAATGATTCTGGTCGCTTGTAAACGCCCGATGCGATACGATATCCGACATGTGTTTCCACACACAACTCGAAGATGACCTGAAACTGTGTTCTTCTACCTGATACTAGTAGGTCAAATCGCTAATTGACCAATCGAAATGTTGGATTATGTCAACTTGTTCAAATTACCATAGCTCATTTAAATATGTTAGTTCGGCGACTTCATGACAAACGCAACAGGAAAGAGATTTACCGATGTTCTAGTACGATCTCTTGGCTTAAATTTTGATGGGAAAACGGCATAATTTTATTAAATAAAATAAGCGTTGTTTTCGAAAGTTAAACTGAGCTTTGAAGAATATTGTTTTTAATTGTACTACCATCATAACAGCTCATTGTCGAAACGACGTTTAGGCGTCAGGAATGGTTGAAATGGTTAGAAATGGCGCCGGTAGATTTTAGAGATTTTACTGAAAATTAATTAACGAACCCGACAGAGTCGAATACGAAAACTGTACTAATGTTTGACCCCATACAAGACCTTTTTTAAAGTTTATGACACAAAGTGAAAAGATTGTTGTTTGCGCACGCATATTATTTGCAGTCGGCATCTCTCTGGAACACAGCTTTGCACAGGACCCGGGAATAAATTCAATGGTTTCCACATAGTTTGCTGGCAACGGGTTTTTCAGTGAATACCCCCTATGTTGTCATGGATTAAGACGTCACGGTGATACACTTAAATTGTCAGCCATAACCGCGTGAGGGCGTTTTTATTTAAAACAATGGCGATGTACGTAGCCTTTGGGAGGAAAAGGGGCATTTACTTTCGCATTGTTTGCTGTAATTTATGGAAAAAGGTGGTGTCAGAGGTCGATTTCTACCATCCCTCCCAGCGACATTGTTGGAAGTTAGCAGACAGAAAGCCTTGAAATTATTTTACAACAGCTGATGCTAAAATGCATACCCACATCTGTGTTGGCGCAGTATTGTTATACTATTGCACAAGTACGAAATATACGACCTAACACATTTCATAGAAATACCTTTTAAGTAGGAAGGCACATCTTTGACACCAAACGGATCTCCTTCGCCAACGAGGTATTTAAATATTGATGCCGATGCAAGACCAAAGGCTGCTGCATATGTAAACCTGCATGTACGGTCGTCCAACAAGTTGACAGGGCTGAAATGATCATCAACACGTAGCGTTATAGTTCAACATAGGCATTTGCACCATTACAACATTTATGGAGACAATTAAAGTTGGACGTTCAACTGTAAAATGTCGTCATGTATTGGCTATGGTAATTAAAACTGTGACAAAATAGTTAAAGCGCGGTGGTCGTCGCGCAGCGCGTGTTCGAATTTCATGTAAATAAACAATGTATTTTACACGCGTTGTATACGTCGCTATGAGTCTCATATCGAACAGGACGCGGCGCGACGACTGCCGCCCTTTAACATGTCCGTCGATGATGATTTGATGGATCGATTGCCGTAGTCAGTTGCCTAATTAGTGGTGAAAATAAGTGTACATTCATCCAAACTATCATTCTTGGTGTCACTAGTTAAGAGAATGACGCCCAGTATGAGATATACCTGTCGATCGCACGCGATGTTTCTGGCTTGTGAGTGCACGTAAATTATCACAGTAGTGTACTTACTAAATAACTCCTGGGCGTCCATGACAAATATCCATCTTGAGGAACTTTCGTTTTTGTAAGAAACTGAGAGCCACCATAAGTATAATCTGTAAATCAAAGATAAATTCTCACTATTGCGGTTGCCATGGCAAGATTGCAACTCGGCTGATTGGTGAAGGTACACAAATCGTCTAATATAGATTGGGATAGAGCTGTTCGATATTTTATGTCCTATAATGTATTTTTTCAAAACCGCTAAATGAATATTTGAATTTAGGCGGATATAAAGGCTTCAGGTCAACGTTCTATCATGATTTATATTTCAGTCAGTTTGACAGTGGTTGCCATGACATATACTGATAAAGGTTAATGACAAGACCAGATGGCGAGCTGGTCGAAAGCAACCAAAAACATCTTATGACTCTGCAGTTTTTAAGATACAATACAGTAGCTGTAATCCTAAACCAATTTTGTTTGCGATTCTAACTAAGGCGGTATCTTTGTGGAATGTTAGTGCAAGACTATTACCCCATCAATATTAGTTAGTGTTGACAATATATAGTAGTGTTTTTTCTAGATAGTTTGACGAGTAATTAATTGATTATGATGTGTAAAACTTTCATGTGATTGGTTGTTTGTTTGAAGGCAAGGCCTTGGAGTCCCTTATACTGATTGTAATTGGTTAAGGAGTGACAAGAAATAAAGAGTGATTTAATGCTATCTCGGGTGAAAACCAGGGACTTGGCAGAGAATCGTTTGGGGAACATGAACGAAGCTTGTGTGTGTTTTTGTCAAAGCATCAAAGGGGTGTTTGTCAGTACCATTATAAAAACTTGCACTTACGGACACTACATTCAGAGCGATGTCAAATTTCGTGAGAGCACGCTGACACTTGGCGTCAGGGACTGGGATGGATCTAGAAAGACACACATATATGACACGTAGCCAATGATTATACGTTTCTTGTTTCAACTACAATGACCGTATTAATTTTATCCGGAAAAAAAAAACGGCTGTTGAATGACATTTAATACTCATATCGCGTCATGTTGGTGAAGCAGTAGTGCATCGTCACTGTTCATTTCATGGTAGACCAATCGGAAAATAGCAAGAAAACAAGCGTATATACATTTGAAATAATATTTTCCTGTTATATTCCTTGTGACCACGACCCATTTTACCACAGTCTTTGCGATCGTAGTGTTTTGGCACTTTCAGCAAAAATCATGATCAATTTATGTTTATAAGTCTATGTTGCCGTACAGCCCCTATAAACATCTAACAGAATACACATACCGGGGACTCGAAGTACACGCTTAAATATAACTGAACAGTACCAAACTACATCTACACCCATTCACTGTTATCTAGTGCAAGGTACTTCTTAGAAACAAGTCTCTACAATTTGTACTTACGTGTCTAACCCATCCATCTCCGAAAATTAACTCTTGGCTTTTCAGATAAGTACCTTATGATAAAGAAAATATTTAGACATCATGTTAAATAAAACGAATTGCAAACACGCTTCGGTTTCAACATATGGCAGTTATTCAAATGAACTGCGTTTAATATTGTTATATTTATGTCAACAGTAGTACAATAGATACCGTCTGTAATCGTGAGAAATTGAAAAGTGAGTGCACTGGGAAGGGCACTCTGAATAGCCGCATTCCAGGCTATTCACTGGTGCATTTACTAGTTGACCTCCAAACAGTCAGTATCGAATATTGCACGATCACGCGAGATTTGATAAATCACGTGGGTTTAGGGATGTCTGAACTAGTGACCCAAAGTGGTCACGGTATCAAATCACAGTGTACAACTATGACGATGTTGATGAGAAAGCCATTTTCACCATTGTTTTACTTTAATTATTAGTGTTCATGTATAAATGTATATATAAATCTAGTTTAATGTTACCTTCAAGTTCACTTGCAGGTAGTGTTTTTTTACAATGTCGGCATGTGGCAATAATTAAAATAACATTAAATACTGTAAAATGACTAATTTTCACTGGGTTAAAATTTCAATGATTTACCATTTCTGGCATATTCAGTGGGTTTCAAATTCACGGATTTATCATTTAGATAGTGTGTTCTATGCTAAATTTTACATATTCACTGGGTTTTAATTTAGCGCATTTTCCAGTCAGCGAAATAAGCAAAACTAAAACACGGTGAATAATTAATCCTTCTACAGTATGTTACTAGATTATGTAAAAATTATATGTAACAAACAAACAAACGCCATAAAACCCATACGATTTGTAAAAGGTCTGTATACAGTTTTTTAATTTAAGCATATGCACCACAGGAAAACTATACAACTGCAGACATATCCGCCCTAATGTTGAATAAGGTAGTGCAGTATGGTAGTACACATGGCGAGAGATATGGGTAACGGCAAACATAAACGGACATACCCACTTGTACAATAATAATTGTTTAATTAAATATTGTTCATAAATAAATGTGGTGTATGCATAATTTCAAAGTCATGAAAATAGAGAATCAGTATATTGGCGGAGGTGTTTTTTTTCCTCGTCCTTTTAGTGAAGTGGGGGGTATCACGTTTTGGTATTGGAGCAATTAAAACATATCTAGAACTTTTCCGCCAATCAGAATGCTTCATTGCCAGGATTTAAATACACGAACTTCCCGGTTATTCGGGGGATATCATATTCAGAGTTAGGTAAGTTGGTCAAGGTCACTCGTGTCAGCATTCGTGAAGACTATCATAATTGGCAGTTGTGGTGTAGCATGTGCTATGGATAGTTATTGTGGCTAACTTTGAGACCCAGAGCGTCTCTCTGGCCCAAAGTAATGTTATGTGCCGCACATCAGGGTCTGTATTTTTGATGGTCTGTCACTACTGATTTTATGTCATTTTCCATAATAGTCTGTGGCCAACGATCGACATCACGTGATCGACATCACGTGATCGACTGCTCAACCCGGCCATGGTTTTCATATCACATGTTAAAATGATTTAGCCGTGTGTAGGCTCACTTCGTCCATGTATCAAAAACAGATTTGGTCATGGTAATGTGGATATATTAAAAAAATCAAAATTCACAGCCATTGCCGCCTTAACACTATGAAAACGCGATTTTGTAATTGCCATGTGCTTCATCATACGAATACTTCTATGATTGGTGCAGGCATACCATAATGTGTTTATCTAGGTGCAATATAGAAACCTGCTCAAAATTATCCACCTTATACAGCGTTAAGGCAACTCAATATTTGACACTCTCGTCGACTTACGGCGTAACGTTGTTAAAACAGCCTGGACAACACTTGTACATACATATGTTGCTAGGCAACTTGGGGAACGTTTTGCTATTCACCAGTTAGATGACCTGATTTTATATGTACAGATTCGGGTCATACGCATGAATTATGATACAACGTAATAGATCGTTTAATGGTGTTTAGTATATGCACAACTAGAAGGTTCTGACAAAATTACTAATTCAAAATCGGACGAAAAATGCGTTCAGATTAAGCAGTGCGTTTTTATATTGTTTAAATAAGTCTACCATGTTTGGGGATGTAAGTTCTGTACAGTTCTATAGTTTTGATCAACACACGATTTACTATATATATTGTTGAACTCCGTTCGAAAGACGCTATAAGCTGAAAAGTTCTTAGAATCATTTTTACCTCCATGTTAGAATCAACTAAATGTCCAGTGTTTGCCTGGCTCAAAATGCAAAGTATTATGTTACATTATTTGTGACTGGCCGAAAATCAGAATTATATAAAAAGCGCCCACTGAGAAATGTCGTAAAAACGGATGAAAAACGACATAAGCAATTGCATATGTACAATTGTTTTCAATCGTCCTTGACCGCTTCAAGTGGGCTGTAACTTAGTGGAGGGTCTTAGTGTGGTTAGGTATATACAAGTTTCAACAGTGTCTCGTGTTTTAGAAAAATGCAATAAAAATATTGTTTTCGGAAAAAAACAACAACACAAATTGACAAATTTTATAACAATTACAGGAAAAACCCAACGGCGCAGGTCGTAACATTAGTACGATGAAATTAGATTAGAGTATTAAATCTGAGTCATAAGCGAAACGGTCAGTCAATGACCTCACTTGTCTCATGGAAAGTTCTATCTTCCTTTGTTGTCTGGTCATTGACAAATGCAATTGTAATGCTAACAAGTGTGTGTCATATAGAATATAACACATATTTCTGGCGGAAAAATAAAGGAGCGTAAGTATTATTCCCATTTACGCCAAAAAGTGAAGATCTTCAGGTGACGGAGCGGGCGGGCTGTTTACATATTGCATACTAGTACGTTTGTAGCTTTCTCCGAGTTCACTAGTGGAAACTAAACCGTGCATACGACGGGACAACATATTATGTAATTGGCAATCGATTATATTCAAAGTAAAAAAGAGAACAAATCCCGGCCTACTTCCCCATGTTACGCAGGGGTGTATATCCATGTATTTACTGAGATAAACCAGGCAAAATTTTCAACAAGGTCTAGGCTTGAAGGGCTGCCAATGAATAACGTATGTTCTGTTTTTGATCAAAATACCATGATGCAATTAAATAAACATCATTATACAATTAAAAACAAGTACTGCGTTGTCTCATAAATAATGTTACGGCTTATTTCAAATTATTGGTAAAACAACGTCAGTTGTATAAAATCAAACCACTGAGTTCGCAGAAACACTGGGCTGAACATGGAACTAATTTAAATAGTATATGGTTGAACTAAACGTCATTAGTACACGTTTACGAATAGGATTAGTACCAAGACTTAATCAGAAAGAGGGTCAGTGAAATTGCCGAGTGCCAGTATTTTACTGCGTATATTTATTGCCTGCCCCTGAGCTCTTTAAGCTCTATGCGTGCACCAGTCGGAGTGAGTGAGCAGGGTCGTAACAACCACCTACCAGCTGCCACCTACCCACGATGAATTATGTATTCCAGCGCATTTACATAAGTTTAACAATAACAAACAAGTATTTATATATGTGTGCCAGTATAGTTATTACCGGTGCTAGCAAGCACGAGAAAACATTTCGATGGCTCTAGACTTGCACAGGTAGTACATGCCAAAATGTTCTTCTTGTTCGGGCGTAGAAATGAATTACTGTCCCACAACAAGTAACCTGTAGAATGCTGTGTGGGTAATATTTTTTTTTATATTGATTTTTGTTGCATTTGCAGCAAATAGTTACCAAACAATGAGAAATCTATAGGATTGGATATACCTCTCAGCTGGCTTCACATGCATAGTTCAAGACTGCCTAACCGGTGCTTATACCAGGATTTAGTTGCAGCACTGTGGTCTGTGGTTACAGCTTCATTTTCCGAGTAATCACAAGAAATTGACATGACAATAGAAATTCATGAAAGATTGGCACTCCCATACAATTAATAGCAAGTGAAATTCCTGGAATTGAAACATAGATTTTGAAGTCACTGGTGTAGGCATTGAATAACTTCAAGTTGGCATAAAGACGAGGTAGTTTATTTAATCAGTGCTGAACTAGAGGTTGAAATTATAATTAAGTTCGTTGTCATATAATTTGTTTATTT